CCTCCCTACCCCTCCACCATAGTCTGTAGTCCCTTCCCTCCCATATTTGTTAGTTCGTGGTCCGTCCCATAGATAGTCAGAGTTGTTTAGTTCCTTCTCCCTACCGCCTCCCATAGTTGTAGTTAGTCCCGTTCCCTCCCATAGTCTGTTAGTTTGGGTGGCGGGTCCATCCCACTTAGGATTGATAGTCATAGTTGTAGTCCCTCCTCCCTGCCCCTCCCATTAGCTTGTAGTCCCTTCCCCTCTCAGTAGTTGTAGTGTGTAATAGTCCCTCCCCTCCATAAGTTGTAGCGCTGGTCCTCCCATCGCTAGTCATTAGTTGTAGTCCCTCGCTCCCTGCGCCATTCCATAGTTGTAGTCCGCTTCACCCTCTCATAGCTTGGTTGCAGGTCCCTCCACCCTCCCACAGTTTGTAAGTTAGATGGTCCGCTCGCGTCCCATCGCATAAGTATATAGTTGTAGTCCCCTCCCCCCTACCACTCTTCACATAGCTGTAGCTGAAAGATCAGTCCCCTAACACGACAATCATACGTGGTTTAGTCCCAACCTCCCACCCCCTCCCATCAGTATAACAAATCCCTCCCCCCTATCCCCACCACATAAGATACCAATCCCTCCCCCTCCCTTCTCCCATCAGTAGCCAATCCCTCCTCCCATAAAGACCATCCCTCCCCCCTTCACCCCCTCCCATAAGTAGCAGTCCGCTCCCCCCTCCCCCTCCACCTTCCTCCTCCCATAGTTGAACTTATACCCGCCATTCCCTCCCCCCTCCCCCCCGCAGTCGAAACGTACCACCCCCCCCCCCCCCTCCTGCCCCCAATCCCTCCCCTCCTCCCATCCCCCCCATCCCCTCCCCTCCCCATCCCCCCCCTCCCCCCACGCAACCGAGACGAGACGCGGCGGGCGGCGGAGGAGTCGTGTGCGCAGGCGCCGCGGCTATATAACCCCCCCCCACCCCCACCCCCCTCGCGCCATCTCCCTCACGCTCGGATTTCAGCGAAATCAACACTTTAATCTGCCAATCTCAGCGAAAGCTTGACAGGCGCGGGGAAGATTGCCATAACATAAGGTCAAGGAGTTAAGGAAGGTTGGAGGAGGGGGGGGGTTAGTAGGAGGGGGGTGGGGGGTGGAGTTGGGGTGAAGGGAGGGAGGGGGGGGTGATAAAGGGGTAGGGAGGACAGGAGAGAGGGGTGAGGGACGTGTGGGGGAGGGTTAGCAGGGGGGTTGGGGTGGAGTTGGGGTGAAGGGAGGGAGGGGGTGGAGGGAGAGAGGGTGGGGGCGTGAGGGAGATAGGGGGTGAGGGGGTGAGGGAGTAGGGAGGGCAGGGGTTGGGGAGAGAGGGGTGAGGGTAGGAAGTGGGGGAGAGACGGGCGAGGGGGGTGAGGGCGTGAGGGAGATAGGGGGTGAGGGGTGGACAGGGGTTGGGGAGAGAGGGGATGAAGGGGGTAGGGAGGGCAGGGGTGAGGGGTGAGGGGGTAGGGAGGAGAGAGGGGTGAGGGGGGAGAGAGGGGGGGAGGGGATAAGGGAGCCAGGAAGGCGGGGTTGAGGGGGATTGGAGCGGGTCAAGGGGATAAGGGAGACAGGGTGTGTGTGTGAGTGAAAGGGATAGGGGGGGGGATGAGGGGAGGATGGGAGGGGTGGGATGAGGGGAGGATGGGAGGGGGGGGTGAAGGGAACAGAGAGGGAGACGTGAGAAAGGGAAGAAGGGGAGAAAAAGAGGAGGGGAAATGAGAGGGAAAAAGCGATAAACGAGGATGGATAGAGGGGAGAAGGGGAGGAAGTGAGAAAAAGGGAATAAAGGAATATAGATAGAGCGGAAAGGGAGAAGGGACGATGGATAAAGGGGCAGGGAAGAGACTAATGAATGGGAGGAGGCGAAGGGAATAAGGAGAGAAAGGGGGCGAAGGAGGAATAAAGGAAGAGTACAAGAAGAGACAGGGTGAGGGAAAACGGAGGAAGAGGAGAGAGGGAAGAAAGAAAAAAGGACGAGGGAAGGGGAGAGGAGAGAAATAAGGAGGGAACGAAAGAATTTGGAGGGAAAGGAAGGGAAAAGAAGGAGGGGGAAGTGTGAGGGAGAAAGGAAAGGAGAATAACAGATAACAGGAAGAGAAAGGGAGTGAGAGGGAGGGAAGTAGAACGGAGTAAGGGAGGATAGGAGAAGGAAGAAGAAAGAGAGAAAAAGAGAGAAAGAGAGATTTAAGGAAGTAAGAGAAAAGGAAAGAGCAAGAGAAAGAGAAGAGAAGAGAGGTTTCGAGTGAAAGGGGTAATTGGGAGAAAGGGAGAAGCAATCAGATTGCGAATATGAGAGGGAGAGAAAAAAGGAAAGCTAAAAGTGGAAAAAAAACTAAAAAGAAAAAAAATAGGGAATTTTAGAAGAAAGGGTGAAAAGAAGAGAGGACTAACGAAGAGAATAAGAGAGAGAAAAGGAGTGAGAGGAGAAAGAGAGCGAGAAGAGAAAGAAGCAACGAAGAGAATAAGAGAGGGAGAGAGAGAGAGAGAGAGAGAGAGAGAGAGAGAGAGAGAGAGAGAGAGAGAGAGAGAGAGAGAGAGAGAGAGAGAGAGAGAGAGAGAGAGAGAGAGAGAGAGGAGAGAGAGAAAGAGAGAAAGAGAAAGAGAAAGAGAAAAAGAAAGAGAGAAAAAGAGAGATGAGAGAAGGAGAGAGAACTAACGGAGAGAAAAGGAAAGGGAAAGAGGGAGAGAAGGAGCGACGGGAGCGGAAAAAACGGAGAGAGGGAGAGAGAGAGAGAAAAAAAGAGAGAGAGAAAGGGCCAACGTAGAGAAAAGTAGAAGAACAGGGCCATTGTTCCCAGAACTTTTTTCCTGGCGACCCTAAGTTCGGTTCCACGTGTTGACCTCATGGTAATACTGAGGGGCGAATGTTAAGAACTATTATTATTGTTCTAATTATTTTGGGGATAGAATGCGTAATCGTAAATTGAGACAAGAGGAGAATGAAAGAGAGAGAGAGAGGAAGGGAGGAGGAGAGATAG